TACAGCTCTCGGCTCCACTTTCGGGGAGGGCGGCTGTGCATGAGCTATGTGAACTTTTCAAAGAGTTCCTGATTGGCCAAGCGTGAGGTCACGATAGCTGGATACTATTCTTTCTTTGCTTGTTTATGGAACAAAACGTTGTCGAAATCCATACAAACGAGAAAAAGAACGAAGCGGATATCAAGCCATCTTGGTCCATAAGGAATTTATTAAATGGCATAAGGAGTAGCATTTTCTTGCAGGACACATCGAGTAATCCCGAGCGGGCAAGATAGCGCCATCTTGCCCACTCAGGTAGCCAATCACAGTGTAGGATTTGGTTCATCTTATTTGCTCGCAGCTAGCCATATAATATAAATCTTTATTACATGGCCAGTCCCGCGAGCGAGCAATATAAACCGAATCCTGCGCTGTGATCGACTACCTGAGCGGGCTGAATATTGGCCTCGTTCTTTTTTGGGGGTGTTTAAGGACCTGGACTCCGTCTCGGTCCATGGACACGCAAAAAAAGAACTTTTCCATTATCCAGCTATCTTGACCTCACGTCTGGTCAATAACCCATATACACTGCTAAGGCAGTCTTTGACAAAATTTCACCACCTACCTCCACATCTAGTTGTAAAATATCAGTCTCACTGTTTAACAAATTTCCCAAGTTAGGTTTTGTCCTTCCAAAGTCTCCATGAACAAACTCCTTAACATAACTAAACACAAGTCAAGGAAATCTTTCCTCTAAATGCCAATAATATCATCTATTACGGCAGCAAGAGCTGCTCATGCTATAGCAAATCAGTTTTGAACACATATTAAAATAGCAAATCTAGGGAGGGGGCCCCGGAGGGGAGGAGAGGGGGGTTGCTGGCAGCCATTTCCTTATTCGCGAAAATACTACATGCTGAAGGGCTAAAAAATGTTTGTGTTTCCCACATTTGAGGCCCAATTGGCCAAAAAATTGTTTGGGTTCCCGGCTAATAAAGAGATCTATATCCATCACTGTTTACCAGATACAAAACGTTCAAAAACTAGATTGTAAGGTATGTCTTACTAGATTCTTCCCATTCAGGTATAATATTGTCTGGTTTTCATTTTAAAGTTATTCCGGCTTCGGTTGCCAACTTTAACGGTCATGCAAGTAGATATTTACGAAGAATACACAAGTAAATCTTTCCTTCCATGAAAGATAAACATAAACAAGGCGCAATATTGTTGATAAACTGTGTACCGGATGCAGAACTAGCCATAATCCTGATTACACTACACTTTTAATAGTGACGAACGTCACTACAGGAGATATTTTTCAGTTAATAGTCACAAGATTACGTAGTCCTTTAGAGAGAAATCACACACACACACGCGTCATCGTTTTATTCGGGACACTTCGTGACGCTTGTATGGATGAAATTCTTATAGGATACGTTCCCGCCTGAGTCTTGAGAAAGAGATTAAACGAATGAGAGTCGAGCCGCTCGGGTGTCATACTGTAAACACATCGCTCTCGTACAGCCAAAGGACGTCTGCAAAGCAATTCAAAACAAACACTCAACTGTTAAATAAACTAGCCATAAGAAGTTAACGTAACTATTATACCAGCTGAACCATAGTTAATAGAGGGAAATGGTTGTGAAACCTGGCAAAGTTATTTGTTGTATGTTTTTGTTGGCTTTTTTGGAGGTTGACCCTGCACAAAAACCTAGCAAAATACAAAAGGTGGTTATGTGTGCTCATACAACTAACCAGTAGAAGCATTGCGATTATGTAATTCA